AGGAAGGACGGCGATGGAGCCCAGAAAGGCACGCAGCACGACACGCGGCACGGCACACGGCACGGCGCTCGACACGGCAGCCGCACGGCGCGGCACTCGACGTGGCACGCAGCACGGCCAACGGCGCCTCGCCTAGGGCCAGAGAAGGCGCGGCGGCGAGGCGCGAGCACAGAGCCCCTGGTCCCCCCTTTCGGCGAAGGACGCCTCGAGTCCTCCTGCCAGCTGGCAGGGGCCCACGGCTCATCAGGAACAAGGGGAAGCAGAGGGAAGGAGTGTGATGCAGGAGGGCTTGGCTGTGCGTGTCGCTGCGCTGCGCTTGCCCTTCGCTCGCCGCTGGCAAGGGGAGGGCCGAGGAGGTCAGCCGGAGGAGGAGGCAACGCCACCGATGAGTCCGTCCAGCACGAGGCGCAGCGAGGTGCCACTGCGCGCTCAGCCGATTTCGATGGTGCCGTCACCGAGTCGACGGCCGAGTCGCCATTCACTACAGCAGTGGCAGGATGGTGGCCTCCACGGTAGAGGACTTCCCTGGGTGTGGGGGAGGCGCGAGGAGGAGGAGGAGGAGGAGGAGGAGGAGGAGGAGGAGGAGGAGGAGGAGGAGGAGGAGGGGGAAGAGGAGGAGGAGGAGGAGGAGGAGGAGGAGGAGGAGGAGGAGGAGGAAGAGAAGAAATAGGATTATGGAGGAAGGATGATGAGGAACGGGAAGGGGGACGGGAGAGGTCGGTCGGACTCGGCATTGCAGCAGTCTGCGCGCCGTCAAAAACAGGAGAGGGAGGAGGGAGGAGGGGGAGTAAGATGACAGGAGAGGGAGGAGGGAGGAGGGGAGAAGGAACATGACAAGCTCGAGGGTCGAGGGCTGAAGAGAGAGAGCAGCGGAGAGAACTAGGGGGCGAAGATGGCGAGAGAGAGAGACTGCGAGGAGGGGAGGGGGACGAGCCGAGGAACTCCATGGGAACGCTACAGCACCGTGCGCCCACGAGCCGACTTCCGCACTGCAGCCGCTCGAGTCACGCAGCAGAGGCGGCGGGAGGAAAGGAAGAAACGGGGGAGGGGGCAGAGCAGTTTGTTCAATGCCCAATCGGCCACGTACCGAAACATTACAGCAAGAAAGGGAGGAGCCCAAGAAGGAGGATGGGGGGGGGCAAGAAGAGGGAGAGCGTGAGGAGGAAGACGAAAAGGGCGACAGAGACGGAGACGACGATGCCCAGAAGTGGGAGGAGAGAAGGGAGAGAAAGGCGTGGCCACCACTCCGCCCAGGACCGTTCGGTTTTATTGTTCGCCCCCCCTGGCGGGAGAGTGCCGCCGGACAGCTTACTGATCAATGATCACCCACACACACACCCGCGGCGACGACCGCAGGGGGGGATGGCTGCGCAGCTTGACGGTCCCGACGCAAACAGCAACAGCAACAGCCTGGCCGCCGTCGCCTCCGCCGCCTCCGCCGCCGCCGACATCGCAGTCGCCGCGTCGACGCCGCTGGCGGCGACGACGACGTCGACGACAACGACGACGACGACGACGACGACGACGACCACGACGGGCCACCGTGTCAGACGCCTCGCCGCCGAGGCGGCGCTCTCCGGCTCGGCGCCGCCGGCGTCCCCCTCCTGCACGCGGGGCGCACGCGCGGGGGTGCGCACGCGAGAGAGCGCCGGCAGGCCGCCCGCCCGCGGCTCGCCGCGGTGAGGCACGGCGGCGGCGTGGGCGGCGGCAGCGGCGGCGAGGACGAGGGAGGGCCGTACAGTCGGGGCGTTGACCTAAGGAACCCTAAATAAGGAACGAGGCACCTTTTTTCCATAAGTTAACCTTCGATTTCCTGTCGAAGACATAAGGAAAGCGTGAGGCAAGCTGTGAAACACTGAATGAACGCGGAGCCACTCCCCAACGAAAACGGTTCCTTCTTCAGGGCCCCGACTGTATATCTATCTATACGTGTACGTGCGTATATATATATATATATATATATGTTCTAGAACTGCGCGCGCTTCGAGCGCCTGGGTTCTAGCAAGCTCTGGCTGTGGTCTGAAAAGTGGTCGGCATCGGAGGACATGTGTATTGTCACACAGACAGTGCCCCTCAGGGAACTCCACCTACGGCCCCAGGGACAGGCTTGGCTTTGCGTCCCCCGCCCATGTCGGCACACCCCTCACAGGGATCGCGCCCCTAAGGGAATTCCACCCACCTACGTCTCAAGAGACAAGGTTCACATAGTGGCATGACCCTCACGCGGATCGTGCCCCGCAAGAAACTGCTTTTGTCGCACCGGAAGGGAAGTTTTATAGTTGCATTTGTCACACACACACATATATATATATACACATGTGTACATAAACGTGGGTGTTTGTGTGTGTGTGTGTGTGTGTGTGTGTGTGTGTGTGTGTGTGTGTGTGTGTGTGTGGGGGGGTGTGCGTGTGCGTGCGCGTGTGAGTGTGCGTGCGCGTGTGTGCGTGTGCGTGTGCGTGCGTGTGGTGTGTGTGTATGTATGTGTGTGAATGTGTGTGCGTGTGTGAATGTGTGTGCCGATTCACAAAAAAATCTGGCACCCAAAACGATTCCCTCTCTTGCGGGCGCATGTGTTGCTCCCGCCGCCCTCCGCCAGCCTTCCGCGGGCTTCCGCCGGCGGAGGCGGCCTCGTTTTACTTCCGCGTCCTCCAGCCGACCTTCCGCCGCCATTCCGCCGAGGAGGAGATGCCAGGTCCCTCGATCATCGAAGGCAGGGCCCTTTTCGGGGAGCTGCGGGGAGGTCCGCTGCGGCCCAGGCGGCCGGCTACAGAGCGCACGGCACACATCCCATATGGGGAAGGGAGAAGGACGAGGGAGGAAGAGAAGAGGAAGGACGAAGAATAGCAACTGAGAGTAGAAAAGAAGAAGAAGAAGAAGAAAAATACTAATAATAATAATAAGGAAAAGAAGAAGAAGACAACGGCGGCGGCGACGGCGGGGAATACATGTATGTTTCTTTGTGTTCGTGCCGGAAGCTGTGCGGATACCGCCCCGGTATATGAAGCAAAGGCGCACACATGCATTCCAGATGGGAAGAGGGATGGTCGAGGAAGGATAAGAGAAGGAATGAAAAGAAGAAGAAATGATAATAATGAATAAGAAGAACAAGGCTGGCTGGTGGCCACTGTGGGCATTCTTTGAACGCCCCGAGGGCAGCCGGGAGGTGGACCAGCCGCGGCCTGACCTCAGTCGGTTCCCACATCCGCGCACAGGGGACAACAACTCCGGTGGAAGGAGGGGCCCCCCCACCTCCCTGGCGATCTCCAGGGGTAGCAGGGGATGGAGGGCATCCCACCTTGCACCAGGGGTTTCCCGAGTGAGCGCATGTGAGCGCGGACAGGGAGCTGTAAAAGGGATCCGCCTTGGGGTCAACCATCCAGTGCTTGCAAGGCATACCGCAGTCTGCCAGCGTGGGTGGTGGAGACCATCCGGATCCGCTCCCAGCCCCCACCCCCGACCCACCTCCGCGGCCTCAGTCCTACCTGACCCCGTTGGGGCCAGGACGCACTAAGCAGCCGGAGACGGCAGGGCGAGGGCGAAGGCGGCTGAGTCTGGACGGAGGAGTGGACGGGGAGCCCTGGAAACTTTTTCGCTCCGAAGAGAGGACGAAAGAGACAGGAGAAAGGAAGGGAGGGAGGGGGCAGCAGTGGCAACAGCTTGCTTGAAAACTCGGGCTCGCAATGACAAGCATGCGTTCACCCAGCATCTTAGTGGATATGTAGCTTATGCGCCCTCGGCTGGAGGCCCCGACCCCTCGGAACAGAACCCCCCAGCCTTCGACACGAGCGGCCCTGTGATTGGTCTGGCCACCGGCCTGCTATGCAAAAAGTCTCTGAGTTGCTAGCACCTGAGAGGGAACGGGAGGAGGGAGGAGGGAGGAGGGCTGGCCTGGGCTGGCCTGGGCTGGCCTCGACTGGCCCGGGCTGGCCTCGGCTGGCCCGGACTGGTCGCGGCTGGCTCAGGCTGGCCTGGGCTGGTCGGGGCTGGCCTGAGCTGGCCTCGGATGGCCTCTGCTGGCCTGGGTTGGCCTGGGCTGGCCCGGGCAGGCCTGGGCAGGCCTGGGCAGGCCTGGGTTCGCTCTCGCTGGCCTCGCCCCAGAAGGAAGGAGCAGGGATAAGGGAGCAGGGGGCAGACGAGAAGCGAGGGGAAAGGGGGGGGGGAAGGAAAAGGGGGAAAATCGCGTGGTGGCAATAGGCGTCTTCATGCGCTGCCACGCGCAGAGATAGCCACGAGGAGGGCGATTGCCCCGGACTCAGAAGATACGAATGCGAGGGAATGCGGATCATCCGGGGCGGCCGACAAAGGACCTCCGGAGGTCACCGGGACAAACAGGATAGCCCCTGGAAAACTCTCGGCGGGGCGCAGCCCTGGACAGCGAAAGCAACCGTGGACGTCAGCGCAATGCCCCAAAAGGCATACCTACTGGAGACACCGTGACCGCGGCGCGCGAACGCCCACCAGGAGACAGGGAGGGGATGGGAACAGAGATTCGGCAAATGATACGATCGATCCAGCACAGGCGTACTTGATGCCGCTGCACAGTCGGCGCGGTGAGACAAAAAAAACGCGTTCGCTCAAAGAGGGGCTCGGGGAGATGGGAGGAAGCACGCGGGGCAGGGTACCGCAGGAGATCCGAGCGCACCAGCTCTAGCAAAGAGAGACTAGCATCACCTATCCCCAAGGTGCGAGCAGATCCCCACAAGCAAGGCAGGGCGGAGAAGACTCCCGCAGGCCTGCCAAAAAGCACCCCTGGCCCTACCAGAGGCCCAAAACGCACAAGCTTCCCCAGCTGCGCCCGGCTGTGGCGACGAGAATGCCTCCAGCAAGCTGCCGGGGGCCCCCACGAAGAAAGCAAGGCGGAAAAGACCACCAAGCCAAAAAAGCACCCCCGGGGACCAAGCACACCAGCTCCGCCAGCAGCGTCCAGCCGTGGCGACGAGGAAGCCCCCAGGAAACCGACAGCCAGCGCCCAAAACCGCACGCCGCCAAAGAGCCTGGCCTCAGCGTCCAGCAAACACCCGGCGCTCCCGGGGCCCCCTGCCCACCCCCCGGGACAAACACCCCCGGAAGACACGGAAAGGGCGAGCCAGACACACCACCTGGGCTGCTCTCGGGGGGGCACAGCTGGAAGACGGCACCCCAGCGAACTCGAGGGGGAGGAAACACCTCACCGACTCTTCGGGAGAGCCTATGGTCACGGCCCCTGCAGCAAGGAGGCCGCCCGTGACGGAAGGCGGCGTAGCCGAGAAAGAGGTGACGGCATTCGGCAGAGTGAGCGTTGACTCGGCGGGGTACGCGAAATGCGCGGGGCTCACTGGCAGCATCTGATCGTGCCTCACGCCCGCGATCCCAACCATGTCTGAGTTGCAACAGCCCGCTGGGGTAGGACGCATGCCCACCAGGAGGGGTGCCGCAGTCCTTGCTGCATTGCCTATTGACGTGTCTTCTGCCTTGTGGAGGCTGCACGTGAAATACTCGAAGAGGAGGGAACTCATTCCAAATGCGAATGCGTTGACTCAGCGGGGTATAAGGACTGCGAGGACCTCATTGGCTGCATCTGGTCCTGCCCCTAGCCTGGAAAGCAAACAGTATTTGAGTTGCTACCACCCGAAAATGTAAAGCACATGCCCACCATGAGAAGCGCCCGTGCCGTTGCCGAGATGTCAACTGACCTAGCCCCTGCCCCAAGAGGGCCGCACAATATGATCAGCAACGTATTCGTGAGGGAGGTGTCCCAGCGCGAACGTGTGAACGTCAGCCTGCCGGGTATACTCACTGCGTTGAGCTCGCTAGCTGAAACTGGTATTGTCCCAAAACCGCGATGCACACGGTCCCTGATCTGCTACCGCCCGCTGGGCTAAAACACGTGCCGGCCAAGAGGAGTGCCTCTGTCTCTTCGGATATGTTTGTCGACGTGGCCCCTGCCAAAAGGGTACTCCACAGGATGGCCGAAGTGACGCCTCCGCCCCCGTTTCCACCATCACTTCCGCCGCCACTATTCGCCTAACACGCACTCTGCCGCCGCCGTCCGCCTCCGTCTCCCCCCAAGCCGCCGACACCACCGCCTCAACCGCAGCCGCCGCCTTCGCCCCCGCGTCCACCGTCGCCACTGCACTATCCACATCGGCTCCACATGCGGCCGGATGGGCTTCACGAGACGGCCCACAGACCTGAAAAGGATCGAGCCATCGTGGCTACGGAGGGGGGAGGGGCCCACCATCTGGAGAGAGGGGGAGGGGGGGGGGGGGGGACGCGCTGAGATGCCCCGGAGGTCACCTTCGCACTGCTCCTCTCGGGCCTCTTCCGACGGGAGGGGGGGAGGGGAAGCACTGGGATGCCCCAGAGGTCACCTTTGCACTGCTCCTCTCGGGCCTCTTCCGACGGGAGGGGGGGGAGGGGAAGCACTGGGATGCCCCGGAGGTCACATTCGCACTGCTCCTCTCGGGCCTCTTCCGACGGGAGGGGGGGGAGGGGACGCGCTGAGATGCCCCGAGGGGGAAATGAGCGAGGGGGAGGCGGAGCAGGAGGCCGTTGTCGAGAAGATGGGGGGGAGGCATTGGAAACAAAAACGTTCACGCATCCCTGCCTCGGTCGCCCGAGCTAGTTCTCTCTCTCTCTCTCTCTCGTTTTCTCTCTGCCGTTCCCTCTCTCTCTCTCTTTCTCTCTTTCTCCTTCTATCACTCTCTCTCTCTCTCTCGTTTTCCCTCTCTATATCAGCGCGAGCGGGCCGAACGGTCATGCATTGTCCCTGGGTGCGTGACTGAAGTGGGGATCCGTGGTGAGGATTCTGTTTGTTGCGTTGCTGTTTGTTTGTCGTCGTCCCACCTCGCGACCACCCCGAGACCCACCCCGCGACCCACCGCGCGACCCACCCCGCGACCCACCCCGCGACCCTTCCCGCGACCCTTCCCGCGACCCTTCCCGCGACCCACCCGCGACCCACCCACCCGCGACCCACCCGCGACCCGCCCATCCCGCGACACATCCGCAACCCACTCGCGACCCCACGAGACCCACTTGCGACCCACCCGCGACCCACCCCGCGACCCACCCGCAACCCACCCGCGACCCAGCCCGCGACCCAACAGCGACCCACCCGCGACCCATTTGCGACCCACCCGACCAGCCCACATTGGTTTAACGAAAAGATCGGCTGCCTGCGGCGGGCCCTTTCTGTATAAATTGTGAAACTTTGGCGCCTGCGGCGGGCTTCTCCAGAGTCTCGCAAACTGCCGACGTCCCCATCACCCCCTCACTCTTATCTGCATCTGCGGAGTGTTACAGATGCCGTTCCACCCTCCTCGCCCTCTCCGTTCTCCATCTGTATGTGCGCGGGCAAGCACGTGCAGTGAACAATAGCGACGAGGGTGGTCACCTCTCGCTGCCGTGCAGCCCACATCCTCAGCACATGGGAGTCTTCCTTTCTTTTTCTTTCAGCCCCCCCAAACCTGAGGATCCTCAGCGCCCCCCCCCCCGAACCTGGGGATCCCCAGGCTCCTCCCCGAACCTGGGCATCCTCGGGCTCGCCCTCCGAGCCTGGGGATCCTCAGAGAGGGCGGGCCGCGGGCTCGCCCGAGGCCCGAAGGCGGCGCCGGCTCCGACGGGCGAGGCGCGACCGTGCCGTCGCAGCGGCGGGCCTCCGCCCGCTCGAAGGCCCCCTCCGCGCCGCGCTGGCCGGCTCGGGTCGCGCAGCCAAGGGGGGGGCTAAGGGGGGGTGGGGGGGGCCGACGGCGCCGCGGGGCCGCAGGTGGGACCAGGCGCGCGGGATGCCTGACTCGCTTCTGGGCGGAAAGGCCGCCAGGTTCCGGCGCGACAGGCTGCCCACATCAACATCGTTGAACCGATCCCGGTCGCCTTCTCCATTCCCGTCCAGATCCCCGCCATCCCACCACCCTAGTTGGGGATATGCCTCTCGAAACTCACAGGGAACAGCCTATATCCCGGAACCATTGGATAAGGAATCCAGGGTCTGGAAGCTGGTGGGGAACACCAATCGTGGACTGGCCATGGGATATCACTGCCGACCTCGTCAGACAAGGGATCCCCCAGGGTCTGAAGCCCCCTGGGCACTTTCCTGAACGAACGCCCCCACCGCATGACCAGGAGCGCGGGAGGCCAGACTCGCTTCTGGGTGGAGAGGTCGCCAAATTCCAACGCGGAAGGCTGCTCACAGGACGCACCCTCCCTGCTGGGCGGGCATCTCCATCGAGGACGCGCTGACCGGGTTCAGGGCTACGGTGGGAGCATTGGATAAGAAACCCTTGGATAAGGAATCCAGGGTCTGGAAGCTGGTGGAACACCAATCGTGGACTGGCCACGGATATCACTGCCGACCTCATTGATAAGGAATCGCCCAGGGTCTGAAGCCCCCTGGGCACATTCCCGAACGAACGCTCCCACCGCAGGACCAGGAGCGCGGGAGGCCAGACTCGCTTCTGGGTGGAGAGGTCGCCAAATTCCAACGCGAAAAGCTGCTCACAGGACGCACCCTCCCTGCTGGGCTTGTGGATGCCATGACAATCGACCCTAACACCTGGAAATGATATGGCGGCATGCTTCCCCTCGCTGGGCGGGCGTCACCATCGCGGGCGCGCTGACCGGGTTCAGGGCTACATGGACCAGCCTGGGCCATGCCGCAAGCCCCGGCAGGCAGTACCTGTCGCCGCGCGCGTTTGCTCGGAACGCGCCCGAGCAGACGAAGCCGACAACGCGGCAAACCTATGGCAAACAGTGCGTCCGATGGAGCAGGGACCGACCGCCCCAGTACAAACCGGATGCGTTAAAACAAGGCACTCTCGGCCAGAAATATTCGTATAACATCCCGTGCAGACCACAAAAGGTCCTTGGAACATTCCTTCAAGGGCCTATAGGCGAGCCAGGACGCTTCGCCACTGCTTGATACGAGGCGGAATTTGCCGTGGTGGCCGAGGCGGCCTCCCCAAGACGTCTGGCCGCGCGTCGGAACAAACGGCGCAGCGACAGATGTAGCTCCCAAGCCTGGGTCGGCAGAGTGGTCGGCGGCCACGTCGGCTCCCAAAACCGGGGTCAGCCAAAAGGGATGCGAGGGGGACTGGCTGACCCCGTCCCTGTTATGAAGGGGCCTTGGGACACACAAATGAATAGACACAAGTAGCAGGATTCCCCATGTTCTCCAATATTTCCTGGGATTTTGTCTTCCCCCCCGCTTCCCATACTCTCCGAGATTTTCTGGGGAATCGACGATTAATTGTGTCTCTGTGTTTTTTCCCCTCCTGATGCTAATGCTGACCACCGCTGCCTGTGCTCCGGCACCTTTCCTCGACTCTCCCCCCCTGGCTCCGCTCGTTCCTTCTGGCTTTTCCGCAGACCCCCGACGACGTCGATTTCTCACAACGTGGATCCCCAGAGGTCTCGAGCTCTTCCACGGGACCGTCTGCTTTCATCCTGAACAGTTCTTGACTGCCCCAAGGCGGGGCAGGGGCCTCTCAGGGCAAGAATGGCCAACAGCGTACTGCTTTCACAACGCGGAGAGGTCCGGGCTCTCCTCCCCATCCTCCTGCACCGGCAGCAGAGAGATCCCAGCTGCGCCGGTCCTCGTCGAACCCCTTCAAGTCCTGCCGGATCATCCACGAGTCCAGGAACTGAACCTCCTCCACCCCCAGGGACCTCCGCCGTTTTACGCCACATGCGTTAGCCAAATCGTGGACACTGCTACTCACCCTCCTCCTCTTCCTCATCCCATCCATCCTCTCTCCTTCTACACGTGTTTCTCCTCCACCGCCTACTCCTACTGCTCTCACTCCTCATCCCACCTCCTCCTCCTCCTCCTGCTCTTCCTCCTCCCTCTCGTCCTGCTCGCAGTCCTGCTCCTGCTCCAGCTCCAGCTCCTGCTCATCATCATCATCATCATCATCATCATCATCATCATCATCATCATCATCATCATCATCATCATCATCATCATCATCATCATCATCAATCATCATCATCATCATCAGCAGCAGCAGCAGCAGCATCAGCATCAGCATCAGCATCATCATCATCATCATCATCAGCATCAGCATCAGCATCATCATCACCACCATTACCATCATCCTCATCCTCATCCTCATCCTCATCCTCATCCTCATCCTCATGCTCATCATCATCCTCATCCTCAGCACCATCACCATCACCATCACCATCAGCATGATCTGAATCAGCATCATCATCATCATCAGCATCAGCATCAACATCATCACCACCATCATCATCATCCCTCTGCCCATCCTCCGGTCCTGCTATGCACTGTCAACAACATGATCGTCATCAACCATCACCATCACCAGCACCATCACAATCACCATCATCATCGTCACCATCATCAACACCATCGTCATACTGGTCCTGTTGCTCCTGATGCCGATGCCACGGCTGCTGCTTCTGCCACCCGCCGCATCCTGCTCGTCCATCTTTCTGCTCGTCCTCCTCCTCCTGCTGCTTCTGCTGCTCCTGCTGCTGCTCCTGCGCGCTGCTG